ATATCATGTAACAATTAACAATTTAAAATCATAACAGTATATTACTAAATAAAGAATGATCCAAGATGGGAGAAAGCACAAGATAACAAAATTCAGACAGTGGGTGGAGGGAAGCCTTGCTTAAACAGCCAGGTTTTATGACCATAATTTACCATAAGCACTACTCTGTAGTAAAAAAGTGGAGCAGAAATGCAATAAAGAAATAAAATACTATCTTATTTAAATGGGATTATCAAGACAGCACTCACAGGAGCCCCAGGTCAATTCCCATATCTTTATGGCCCTTTGGCTCTCCCATTCTATTTTTTTTCATGTAATATTTTTTAACATTTAAAAAATTTAAATGTGATTACCTTCATCTAGTCTTTCCTCTTCATTTATTTTCTGCAATATGTCAAATAGGACAGGAACTGATTAAGGCAGCTGGAGATCACTGTCCTTATTTCCAAAAGGCTCATTCAACCAGTTTTTAGTGTTCAGTTTAAACAACATTAAAAAGAGGCGGTCATGTCACTGCCTAGTGAACTTGGAGGACTGGGGGAGGGGGAGGTTTGTGACCTGGGAAGTAGCAACCGAAGAAGGTTTACCTGATGGGGGCTATGGAGTAATGGAGGTAGTTCACCGGGCTGAAACCCCAGAACTTCTTAAATAACAGATTATCGCCTCTTTAAGCTTCCCTGTTTCCTTTGGTTTAGCAGTTGCAGCCCTCTCAACTGCTGTAAGAGGAACGGGTTTCCACAGGGAAGATCTATTGTTGCAAACTAGCTTTGTGAGGATGGTTTGATCTTAAATAGGCAATTTAAAGCCATCACCTTTACAAAACACTTCTTCCTCAACAGCTGATGACAGAAAAGAAGGTATAGCCAAAATGTGGCCCATGTTTTGGGCTACATCTGGGCACATGTCAGGATTACTGGCATGTTCTATATTAGAGATCAGGATGAATTGGAAAAATGGTCTTCATCAGGATTCATCATTCATCAAAATTGACAAATGGATGAAGCACTACATTTTAGTGATGAATCAATTAATATTCATTGATTTATTGTTAAAACACAATGTTCCACTGAACAACTGATCCACGGGACATTGACAAGCAAGCTGGCTGTGGGATCAGAACCTGGTTTCTGTTCCTGCAGCCAATCTACTTGTCAACGTCCCAATCATCAGCTGATTAGCTTGCTGAAACTGAAAAATCAGTTTTATCAACTGTCAGCTTGAACAGGAAGATTGTACATTTAAATAGCAAATTGGATTTTCCTGGAAATTCTGGGGATGCAGTTTACCACTTGGGAGCTTTTTTTCAGGATTCAAAGGTGAAGGTGGAAGGGGGTTCAGGGGACTGTATATTGCCACCTCTGAAGTAAAGTATTATGGCACTACCCTCAGTCACTCAACCATTTCTTCCACCACATCTTACTAAAGAGAAATTAGCGTTCTGTGCTTGTATACTTTGCATACTTGTGCTTTGTAACTTTGATTGACACCACACTTGTATCTTAGATAAAGCATCCATATTGTTTTGAAAAGGACAGGAAGACTTGGGATTAAAAGAGACACAAGTGATAGTTTACAGGTAGCACAACCTCATTGCCTATGTCTAACCTAAATTGACCAAAAGAAAATAATTTCTTGTGAATATATGAAATTACCTACTTGACCACCATGTTGCCATCCCAGACAGACTACCCAGAAGTCTACCATTGTGGTCACTGCTGAATAGCTCAGTGGTTTAGGCATCTGGCTGGGGAGCCAGAGGTTGGGAGTTTGATTCCCCTTGGCAAGGGCTGGACTCAGTGATCCATAGGGTCCCTTCCAGTGCTATGATGATGGTGGTGATGATAGTGATGAAACTGGCTAATCCAGAATTTTGTTAGGAAACATCCTGAAGAATTCTATCCAAGGCAGAGCTGCTCCTAGGAATAATTTTTTCCTCTGTATACCTCCACCTATGTATCTCTCAAATATACTGTATACAGTATAGCTTTTGTAATGCTCAGTCAGATAGCTTTAAATTAACTAAATGGCCAGAAAACATCCTGATGGCTCCTTCAAGCTTCCAAAGTAAGTTGACCCATTTGTTATAGTCCATCCTAAATCCAGCCCCAAATCCACTGTCCCATACCCATAATAGATTAATCTGAATAGTTTGACCACATTTGGACTTGATTTGATATGGCATGGTTTGGATCTAATCCACACCAGTCTGAATTGGCCTGATAACGTTCAGATTTGTCTTAATCATTTGCA